CCATCCCCTGACTGTATCGTCGTTTAAAGATTCGTTAATCCTGAATTTGTCTGCATCTCAGGTAAATTAAGGCCTGGGTGATTAATGACTTTCTAATGACCAACAACACATAATTTTCACGCAGGCCTCGAAAACTAATTTTTAAAATCTCTCCGGGCTTGCCATGACCCGGACGAACTCTATGACCGTCCGCAATCCGGGCGGCAAACATTTTCATCGTTACGTATTTAATAAAGCTGTGCGACAAACATTGTAATCTTACCTCGACTTAAAAGCAGACTTAAAAAGATGTTTCGTTAAACTTGTTTCCTCGAAGTATTTAAGCTTACAAATTTTGACTGAGCTTTACAAGCCCATTTTTCAGGGCTTTCGACCCTTAGAATATCAGGTTTTTAAATTATATGGAAGGAAGAAAGCAATTACGGAGATAGATTCATCTCTTCGCACACGCGAAGTACGTGTTGGTTTCTTTATTATCTTCCTCAAATTACAAACTTCACGCGCGTGTCGTGGGGCTGCTAAAAACCACGCTTGGGGTCCCAGCTGACCACTGACCCAGGCCTTAATTTACACGAGATGTTGGATGGTTAGTGTTCTTATGTTTGTGTTTTTTTGTCTCCTACACTACATGGCCATGCGCTTGGTGACTTTTCTCATATACTTAAAAAGAAGTGAAGAATGATGTGAACTGATAAACATTCCCGCCAGCGGATTTTTAACTATAACTTTCCGAACGGTTTCGAAGGCGTAACGTTGATGATACGTGGTTCCTGATTGGACGTATCGTTTTCCTCACACGTGAAAAGTGTGATACGCGCCATTTGATTGGCTCTCGGCTTTTTCCACCGGCTTGTGAATGGAAATTAATTTCGCTCCTTTCCAGTGTATAAATTTCAGTGTGTATATAATGAACAAGATTGCGAAATTGGGAGAATCTCTTGCACTTGCGCACAACTTAAACTTACATCCTCGCGTCAAATCTTCCTTAAAAGGCAACAGGATTGCATCATAAAATCTTCTTCAATCGACCAATTCAGCTGGTCTGATGTTTTTTTTTTTTTCTCAGAAAGAACCAATAAATAAGACGAATTAAACTATTCTCTGACGAAAAAAAAATCGGAAATAGATATACTCTTTTTAATAAGCGCATGTTTTTCTTCGTCTCCGTATTTTTAGATCCACACACACTCATACATAAAATTTATTTCTTCTCGAATGCTAGATTGGCTATATAAAATTAGCTTTTCTCTTCGAGAAATAAAAACGTTAACAAAAACAAAATAATGTCAAAAATGTATCATTCAAGATTTGTTACTATGATTTTAACAAATTTTTTGCTAGCCAACGTATCAACGAGCGGTTACCTCATCAGAAAATCTTCATCATCATTGTCTAGCATTTCATTTCTGATTTTTTAGTATAACATGCAAGATTTCGTGCGCTCATATTGGGATTATGATTTGTGCAGTCTTGACGATGAATTGTTTATTTACTGATAAATTATCTTACCTGGTTTTAGGTGGGAACCAAACTCGGTGCCGTGTGAAATTTCCCCGAACTCAGACTGACAAAAATATAAATGTCAGAGCCCTATACAAAACGCTGTACTCCTTTTGGTAAATAAGATTCACAATTTGCCAAAGTATGACGTACTGAGAGAACACTATGACGTCTGAAGAACCACTTAACCAATTGCAAACCAAGCGAATCAACAAGAGTCGATTTTCCTAATTTGTATTGACCAAAATCAAGCAACTAAAAATAAATAAATGAATAAACGATAGCAATTTAAAGCGAATGTCTAACTAGATTTCTCATCTTGCGTCATTGTTTGAAATTGTAAATCAAATTTCAAATGTTATACAAGCCCGTGATAATAAAGCACAGCAGTATTTATTTCATAGGTACTGAGATTTACCCACAAAAATCGTAGTGAATAAAATTCGTACTGATTCTAAATGTAGCCAATCAGGAGTACGAACGACAAAATTTCACCGTGAAAAATTATCGTTCGTCCAATCAGCAACGCGAACGACGAAATTTCACTAATGATGAATGAACGTACTGAAGAGAACGTTATGCGAGAGCCGTTGCACAAAACCCGCGCGCTTTGAAAAATGGCCGAGGGAAGGTTCGCTTCTGTTTACTCAGTTGAAGAATTCATTTTAGAACACGAAGACAAAAATACCGCTCAAAAAACTGAAAGAGATGTAAGATTGCCTGAAAGATTTTTGAAAACGAAGGACGAAGACAGGAAAATTGAAGATATTCCAGCGGCTGAGTTGAATGAATTCATTAGTGAATTTATTATCTCCGTACGCACTAAAGATGGCAACGAGTACGAGCCGACTTCGCTTCGAAGTTTAATGGCCAGCTTCGAACGACATTTGAAGAAAAAGGGCTATTCTGCCAGCATAATCAACGACTTGGTCTTTGAGAAAACCAGAAAAGTTCTTCAATCCAAACAAAAGCAGCTAAAGAAGCAAGGAAAAGGGAATAAACCGAAAGCATCGGTAGCTTTGACAACCGAAGAGTTAAAGATATTGTACGAGAAGGGTTTGCTCGGTATGTGTAGTCCTATGAAATAAACACATTACAGCATGGAAAATGCTTTGTACGATTTTCATTCACTCGTTGATACGTATCAGAAAACTCGTGAATAAAAATCATACGCGCGCATTTTCCATGAAGTAATCTCTATGTCCCGTTAACGTTGAACCGTCCTGGATATAAGGGACAAGTCATTATTTTGTCGCCTTTGAGGGGGAATGAGGATATTGGTTACCTGGCCCCCCTCTTAGGCTCTGAAATATTTTTATGCCCCACCCCCCTTCCCCCTTCCCCCCCCCTCCCCTTGCAGTAATTAACAGTCAGTTTTCAATAGTCCCCCTATTATTTTCGGTTGGCGACGACTAATGCCTGTTCCTTACCCCCTCAAAACCACATGATTTCATGCACCTTCATCTCCTCTCCCGGCCTCAATTACATAATGGCGTTTCTTGACTCGGAAGGGTCTCTCTATGTTTCAGCCAGCCACTCACTCCCCTTCCCGGAGGTTAACTAATCCGTTGCATAAGCGTTGAAGGATTTTGAAGAAATCTGCACTGATCGTTTAGTTATTGGAAACACTGACGAGATCTCGGTTCAGTCTACCTATTTATTCTGATTATTCTATGGTGTTAATTGGCATTTTTGCGGCTAAATTATGCTAGCTAAGAACGGATTTATTTTGAGGCCAAAAGTAAAGTGAGCCTAGCAGGCTCCTTTTGGTAATGTCAGAAAAAAAACAAGTGCCAGGTTTGAGTAAAATGAACATTTGCGAGAAGTCGACGCCTGACGTGCTCAAAAATAATTCTTCGTTATGTTTGTTCCAAACCGCAGATAAATTTTATTGTTTTCCTCGTTTGAGAAAAGCGGAAACCACCATGAAACAACCAGCTGATCCTTTAAAGGTAATATGTTTTAAAGTTTTTGTTTAGGAACGACAAGCGGCTTTTAATCGTTCAGTCGACCATGACAGAAAATCATGTGTTATCTCTTCCCAAATCACCTCAGGTACACTTTCGTTGGTTTTGAGAAAACTATCTTCACGCGGATCGCGATTATTTCTGACTATTCATAATTGGGGAAGCAGACGGTATCCGGTGAGTGATTTTTTAAATATTAGAGTCTATTTACTCCTTAATTTTGGATGATAAAGTTTGTTTTTAACGAAAATACACCAACGAATTAAACGTTCCGAGAAAAATCAAGAAAACATCTTACTTTACCTTAAAACGTTTGAATAGTAATTATAAACTGACCAAGATCTAAATTTAACTACATTAGCGGTTATTGGTTTGGTAAGGGATAATACAAAAACGACTGATATCGTAATCACTGGAAATCTGGAATCTTTACTGGAAACAGCTGAAATTCTGCTCCTTTTTAAACATTGGATCCTTTTTCTCTTTTTTTTAAAAATTTTTTTGGCAGAGTCAAATGGGTTGTGGCTTTCGATAGACCATCTAAGGCTCAAGAAATCTTACTTCAGATAGAGTGTGTTACATCTTTTCTCGAATTTTTAGGTGGTGTAATTTGCGTCTCAAATCAGCGATTTAGTTTACAGTTGCAGAACTGATGTGAAAAATTATTCTTACGGTTACTAAAACGGTAACCTCGATCTTCGTGGAAATAAGTTCACTTTGATCGCAGAAACAAGGTTTTGTTTGGATAGTCTTACCTTCAAAGTCAAGATATTCCCGCGTGCGTATGTCCCCACGAAACTAACCTTTTCGGTATCCAACGCCAAGCAGAATTTAACCGGCAGCTTAGCTTGGATCGAACATGACAGGCGCACTTTGTTTAAGACTAATTTGACATAATTGCTGCATCTGGTTGCTTTCTCTTCAAAACAATAGACTCGGAGGGCAGGTTAGAACCCTATTAAGTGGTCAATTCATGAATAAATTAGCTTGGTGCCCTTGTTGTGATGAATTTTTGTATCATTTTCAAAGCGATTTTTTTTTGTTTGTGGGCTCCGTTACTATAAACCACTCCTTACAACCATGAAAGTGACTTTTTCCCAAAAACTATACCAGCCTACTCCACTTTTGTGACATGTTTCAAAATTTCCAAGTGTAGATTGTCTGGTTGCCATAGGCAACCGTCTTTTATTGACGCTGTTATCCGGAATTAATTCAAAAGGGAAGCGAAAACATATCACTTTGTAACTAGAACAAAAATATGGAATTAATTTGAAGTAAATGAATTTAATTGCAACGTGAGACATGTGCAAAACCAGGCGTGAATGACGACTTGAGGCACATCTTTTTTGGATGGTAATTGGCTGAAAATATAAGCAAAAAACAAAATAAAACCTTTAAACTCAGTGAACCCAACTTGTGACCGCGTGAAAACTGGGTAAGAAGAACGCTAGTTGACTACGTGAGGAATTGGGAACGAATTTAATTAGTGACCAATCACACCTTAGAACCGGGATATTTGAAAGTGTACCCAACATGGCTGACGATCTAAAATCATTCGACCCCGGAGTGGAGAATAGTTGCAACAAAAACCAGAGTGCTGTACGACAAGAAGGTAAGACAAAAAACAGTTAAAACTTGGAGCTATCCTACAAGTCGTAATTCGAAGTTTTATTTGTTTATTTTTAGCCTCTAGTTCTACGGAATATCCATGGCAAACAGAGTTGCAGATAACTCATGACCGCAGGAAAATTAACGACATTCTAGAGCGCAGAGGTGCAGAGATTCGAAATATCTACGAGCAGAGCCAGAATTCAGGTACTGCCTTTTCAACTGACGAGTTATTTCAAGATCGTGTTAGTTTTCTCTTGTTTAAATCCCTATTATTAAGTGTAAATACTTTTCAACGGCTGTTTCAATGGAATCACAGCTTCATAAACTTGGTCCTTCTTAGAGAAAGATGTTTTTAAGTCTTGTCACGAGCGTGAGGCAAAGAAAAATTCTGAGACCCCATGAGGAATCGAACCTCAGATCTTCGGATTCCGCGCTCCGATGCTCTACCGCTGAGCCACAGAGACTCCACGGTGAAAGAGGCTTATTACGAAGTTCATATGACACGCGTCCTGCTTGCTGCTAGGATCAACAATGTCGATCCCGTAATGTTTGGTCCTTCTTATGTCTCAGGGCCTGGTTTTTTATAGAGCGGACAATGATATCCAATGGGAAATGGCTATCTTAACAGAAAGTACTGCGCTATCCACTGAAGGGTGTTATCTTTCTCATGATGCGAATGACAAAGATGTCGAGGGAGCCCCAAAACACCATAGCTTGAAATTTTGTTTATTCTGTAACTCCTTAGAGTGATAAACATCTAATTTCTCCCAAAAGTTTCACCCCTGAATCAACCATTTAGGTCATGAGAATAAAGGAAATGATCACAGCCTAAAGAAGCTCTTGATTGTTAGACAAATTCTCCCTATGAGTACCATTTTAGAAATGTATATAGAGAATATTATGGAGAATTTGCGTACTGACGTTGGGGTTTAAGAGTTAATCTCTGTTTTGTTTGATTGTTTATCTTTTCACAGTAGATGACTGCCACCTCCTTGAGAGAGAATGGTTGGCCTTGGTAACAGAAAAAGATAAGAACCTTTGCAAACAAATTGAAGAGGTAAATGATGTGCTTTGGAAACCAAATTCGTCTTGTAATTCCCCTTTCCCACACCACACGACACCATAGTTTTTTGAAGAACCTTACCCCTGTTATTCAGTACTTTTCATACTCTGCTTCTAGATATACTTATAAGTATCAGCCCTTGCAGTTAACTTATTACCAGTATAACATTTTGCCAAGATTCAGAAAGAATTAATCATTTTTTTATTTGTTATTTCACATTTCTTTTGAATTAGGAGAATGAACAGGCTAAGAGAAATCAAATCAAGCAACTTCATCAGGTTCTTGAATCTCTTGGAACATTTAACTTCAACAAACCAAATGAAGCCATTTTAAAGCGAAATCTGGCAAAGATGTACCATCAAATTGGCAAATACTGCAGCAGGAATAAGATAGATGTAACCATGAAAGACAGCAGTAATACTATTACGTCCTCAGACAGTCCTGATGAAAACATTCTTGTTGCCCCCCCTGCACCTCCACCCCACCCCCTCCAATACTGATACCCCCTCCTCCTCCACCACCACCTCTGACCCCCCTTACAAGTATCAATGCTACACCACAAAATGATACTAAAAACCTTTCAAGGAAGAGAGGTGCCTTGACTGCAAGAAATATCTCAACAACCCCATGTGATCAAAGAAATGAAGAACTTCTTAAAAAGATAAGGGGTGGCTGTAGATCAGAGCTACGACGAACATCATTTAAGCGTTCCCCTGGCGGTACACCATTTAAAAGGCAGAGGCGTGTTTCTGATAGCAATGCCTCTGATTTGATAACTGTGGCTTTGAAGAAAAAATTTCAAAATGTAACTTTCCAAAGCCCCAGAGAAAATGACTCTCCCAGATCTTTCACATCCTTCGAGGACTTGCAACAAAATTAATGTGTTATGAAAAAAAAAATACAAAGTTTTTTTAATGTGAAAACTGAGAGGAAACATTTTATTACAATCACCATATAGGGTTGATGTGATGCATACAAAGATACTGCACAAAAATTTGTATTGAATCATCAGTTTAAATGTTTAGATAGTTTATTTTTAATAATTTTTATAAACTTCATCATTTGTTTGTTTTTGTGAATACTTGTGACATCACCTGCTTCTCATTCCTCCTGTTCTTGAGATGGATGTGTCCTTGTCTATCCCTTTAACTCCCATGGGTGACCAAGACAGAATTTCTCCTTACAATATCAATACAATATCAACCGGATAAGTGATGAGAATAAAGAGAAATATCAGTAGGGGGATTATTAGTTGATTCAATGCCAAATTCTCCAAACTAACATCATATGAATGATATTGCAGACAGAAAGGAGAATTAATGATGAGATCTTGGGAATTAAAGGGTTCAAAATTAAAAGGCATTTATTTTTCAGGACTTGAGCAGGAAATTAACAAAACTGTCATCTCTTGTGATCACAAGTTTGATCCTTTTGTTTTAATTCTTTCTCTATGGATTCTATCAATGAACTGGTGGTAGCTTTCAGAATTTGTTTCCTGTTAGATACAAAATGATAAAAAATATAAATTAATATGATTTAACTAAGGCAACTTCTGCATTCACTGATTTCAAGGTGAAACTGAAGTTGTCAATGTCAAAAGAAAAAATAAAATCTGTAGATTAAATGGTAGAGCAAAGACAGCCATTCCTTACTTGAACAGAACAAAGCAAACAAAATTTATTGTGGATTAAATTAGAGTGAAAATATAACATTACATACTGCTCTGCCTTTTCAACATTGTATTCCTCAAGTTGCTTTCTGTTCAGTTTATATTCCTCTGGTAGAATTGCATTTCCAGCCTGTGCAAGTATTCCAAGAGGCAAACTAAAGGTTTAGAAAGTTGAAGAGTATGAATTAGATTTATTCAGTGCTTTTATAAAACCATAGTCAAAGTAAAACAGTACAATGGAAAGTTAGTACAAACTTAGGTAGTTAATGAAACCAATTTTTGATTCACTTTAGGAAGATGCATCCACAACAACTTAAATAACCCACAGGTTTTGTCAAGGCTAGAATAATAAAATTACTGTTGTAAATATTATTTTCTAATTGAATGTATCGTGTTGAGTTATACATACATACATACATTTTATTACTTGGATTTGTATTTACAAGATTTCATGCACCCACAGTTAGCTTGAGTGCTATTCTTGGTAGTTTGCATGTTAGACGGAAAACTATTACATAAGCATTAACAAGTTACTTATAATCTACTAATATTGTTCCTAGGACAAATCTACTTTTACAGAATAAATAAATTCACAATATTATATGGGGATTAGAAGTAAAGATTCACCTAAGCCTAACTAAGGATATAGCATGTTGATAGCTACAAAAACATGCTAGAATTAGTTAAAACATTTCAGAAAAGCTTGACCTTTTGAATGATTTGCCAAGTGTAAATATAAAAGTCTTCTAAAGAGAGAATGTCAAAGAGCTTTCTTTTTATTAAAAAGTCAGTTCACTTGCTTTTCTATAAAACTTGCCTTACCTTAAACCACCGCCAAGTGCTGCCCCAACAGCCATTTTACGCCACCCAGAAAACATGTTATACAAAACACCAGTTGAAGCTGTTCAAAGCAAAATGTTATGGTAAATTAAATTAAATTGATAAATAATCCATTTTTAAAGTGACAAATTTTCATTACAGAAATAATAGAATCAAGACTTTTTATTCTAAGCAAAGGAGTTTTACCAACTAAGTATTCTGAAGTTATTGATTAAGTTGATCTCAACCTCTAAATTTACCTCCACTGGCCATGAAATTCAGTGCATCGTATCTGTTTCGATAAGCCTCTAGTGCAACCACAAGAAAGCTAAATTAAAATGTAAAAGAAAATTCATTTTCACTAAATCTGAAACATTTTATCCTTTTTAAATATCGGAATGGAACTATCCATTACTGACCACCTTGTGATTTTGAGTTTTTTAAGCTTTTCATCTGTCTAGGAAGAGGTTGAGTGAGAGGTTGAGTATAAGATGACTCACTAATCAGTTCAAGAAGATTGAAATAGGTAAAATAAGACCAACATTATTCCTTATTTTCTTTAACCCTTTTATAGGGTTAATAACCTAATTAATTTAACCCCATAATACCTATATGTTTTCCAATAGATGGTTGATGAGAATGCTCAAACTTACAGGTAGAGGTAGTTATCTTAATCTCACACCAAGTTCTCATTACAAATTTACAAAGAATTGTATAGCAGCACCAGGGGAGAATTAACAATCAGATCTTGGGAGTTTAAGGGTTAACATCCACCTAGAAATTTCTCTAAGACTTGAGAAAATATCAACAGAAAGGTCAAGTCTCCCAGTGAACCTATGAACCCATGCCTTAAGAACTTATCCCAGTTACTACAGCATGAAGTGCCAGGGAGTGCTTTACTCCCCCTTACAGCATACTGTCAAGCTTCCCTGACAGTTAGCCCCTATCCATTCATTTTCCTGGGTGGGGAGAGAAGCATCCCCAAAATATTTACCCAACATAATGACCTTGCTAAGTCTCAAACCTGAACATCTCAACCAAGCATCCAGTACACTAACTATAACCTTTTAACTCCCATGAGTGACCAAGACTGAATTTCTCCTTTCAATATCAATACAATATCAAGCAGACAAGTGTTGAGAATAAAGAAAAATCTCAATTAAGAAATTATAAGTTGATCCAATCCCAAATTCTCCAAACTAATATCACAAGAGCTGTTTGGCAGACAGTAAGGAGAATTACCAATGAGATCTTGGGAGTTAAAGGGTTAAGGTCACCACTCACCTATAAACACCAGCAAAGGCACCAGCTCTCCATCCCCAACGCCAACCATACTTGACAAATCCCACAACAATGGATGCATGATAGCGACGCTGCGCATGCATTGCAGATTCATACACAGTCAGCTGGTTGTGTCGCCGAAAGCTATCATCTACGATGCGATAACCAAACCGACCACCAAAGACAAAGGCAAAAACAGTCGTAGTAAGCATGACTGTTCTTATTTGTTCCATCTCTGGACAAAGTCCGTCTTCATAGCCTCTGTTGAGGAAAAAATGTTGTGCATGACTCTCCAGGCTGTCTATACATTTTGCATGTTGAGGAAATGTCATAAACCCTTAAACTCCCGTGAGTGACCAAGAAAGAATTTTTCCTTACAATATCAATACAATATCAAGCAGAAAAGTGATGAGAATAAAGAAAAATATCAGTAAGGGAATTATTAGTTGATCTAATACCAAATTCTCAGAAGTAATATCATAAAAATTGTATATGGCAGATAGAAATGCAAATTATCAATCAGATCTTGGGAGTTTAAAGGTTAACAGAATTATTCATTATTACATTATTCAGAGTAAGTATTTCTCATAATGTACCTGTGTCCTATTGATTCAAGGTATTCATTAGTGATAATCATATGGATATCGACACGTTTGTGGCAATTTTATTGCAAAGGCTTATAGTTATATGTAAAATACAGCCTTACCTTGACTTAAAAAATGCTTTCATGAATCTACGCCATCTTTCCTTATCAAAATGCTCATCACTCTGTCTAAAGAACAAAACATAACAAAATCATTTTGTTTTAGAATTGTTAACAAAACAATTTTGTGTTTTCAGCACATAATTCTTGATAAAATTATTGAGATCCTATGTGTGCTATGAGTTGTCAGAAACCTACATAACACTTTATTGTATCGGGAAACCCGTAACTAGTTTAGAAAAGCAGTAGACCCCACAGTCCATTGTTTCACCTCATGGCATCTTTCTGCATCCAGCAGAATGATATCCAAGAAATATTGTAGCAATGGAATGAGCTTTTAAAACAAACTCTTGCATTTGAATGTTCTGCTCATTCCTTTTTATTCCTTTTCACTGTCTATGTTGTCCTGGGGAGGGAAGAGGAGAAGGAGGCACAGCACAAACAACTATACCAACCTTACATCAAATAATGCTCTTACTCTCTGCCAACCAGTTTCCTCTTCAGATTCACCATTCTGTGTAAGTGTATCCCTAAATAAATTCAAAACAGTAATTCAAAATCTATTCATTAACTATCTAACAAAGTTATTTGTATTTGAATCCATAACCTGCCATTTCTTCTCTGTCAGAGTGGTAAGAGTTTTATCCCCTGCATTCCAGAACCTCCTTCAAAGGATCCATAAAACAGGTTACATATTTGAAAGCACCCAAGCATTTGATCAGCCAGTGTAAGAATTGCTACAGGAATTTTATAATTTAGTTAAAGGGTAGAAATGGTGAATGGGGAAAATGGGATGAAACTCTCCTGATTCTGTTCACTCCTCTGCCACAACTCCCACCCAGGGGTACTTTTCCTGCCCTTCAGTATGAAAAAACTGCAGATTTATGATAAACAAATGTAAGAATTTTTGCTCTTTTTTTGTCTTTCCATCATTAAAAACTCTCTACTTCCTTCCCTTTACTCTCATTCCTCTCGTACCCTCTTCCATTCTCCCTCTCCCTATAAGGAGTACTTTGTCAACCCTAATCAATTTTCCAACATCCTGGAGGGAAATTAAACCAATACCAATTTTGCCAAAAAGCTTGAGTGAAACGAATCAACAAGAAAGTAAAACACTTAGAAATTCACCAGTAGTAGAATTACAAAGTGTTCCAATTAAATCAAGGAAGTCAAGCTTTCGTGAACTAACGCAGTCTTCCAGAAAATACACCGCTAGTGTGTTTGTTCGGTGTAAGAGAGTAAAGTAGATCTTGTGTTGAGAATATTTTAGTTTTTTTTACATTTTTCAAACCTTTCTTTGTAGAAGGATTCCTTTAACCTCTCCCAGAATGTACGTTTTGAAAGATCTTCGTCACCTCTTGCAGACATCTTGCACCATGAATATTGTTCTCACGAGTTTTTGTGGTCAGGAAATGTACAGGGTAATTTTAAATCATTCTCTACTATTTATCGTGGAATCAGGCGGAAAAGAAACAATTCGACAGCGTATTATAATTAACTATACCTAAGTAGTCATTGCAAGTTGATCAATGGCAAAGTGTTCAATTGTTTAGCTTCAAAATGTGTTCTTGGACGAATTGAAGAATTCAGGAAGCCATCTTGGCCGAGAAATGTGGGGAACTGAGGCTGAACCTAATCCTTAGAGCCAGTCCCCGAGTGGTCATGAATATTGCTCAAACCTCAAATGAGGTGAAATAAATTCACCATCTGAAGTAACAGTTGCATAACGGCAAGCGATTTTCCGAATTCAACCGACCAACTGGATGAGCTTGCGCGCACAATTCATCCTTCTAGCGTTTCCTCCTTATCTAGCTTGCAAACGGAGAGATAATTCAAATAATGACTAAAATAATTTTCCGCCGTTTCGGTACCGGTACAACAGGACCTCTGTGGGTACCCCACAACCTCCAGAAAATTACCGCTGACAAGAAGCCAAAATGACCCTGTGTTCGAAATTGTGCTCTTCCTTATACAATGTTGAATTTTGTGGTGATTATATTTCGTAAATTTGGTGTCACCATCTCGTTCGAATTGGCTAAAAAGTATATATTTATACATATTCGGATGCAGGACATGTTTTCAATAAATTTTCCAAGAAGTTTTGACCACCATTGTAGATACAAACGGGATTTCCGCTTCAGTTAAAAGTGTTTCACCACCCATGCAAATTAACAAGTTAAGAGAATAGAGAACATGTGTGGCAAATAATCCAATACCCTACCAAAATATTTATTTGGTTATATTTCATTTCCATGAATAAACATCTTCACAGTTTTTAATCACAGTCTTTAATAGTAATTATAGTAATAAATCCTAGAAAATTCCTAATCTAAATTTAATTCAAAAAGGAGAGACATGACCCGAGCAAGGCCATAACGCCAAAACGGGCAAAAAAACTTTAAGCGGGGTGGGGGAAGGAACTGCCTTCGCCTGACATCCGCTTAGCTTGTTTCCAGGCAACAGTGTCTCGAATCTCCTTCCCAGTAGACCTTTGGGGTGTCACGCAACACGCATCTTGACAGAAGCTTCTTTTGGGGAGTGTTGCGTAACATCCCGAAGAATGGATGCAAACAAGACTACGTAGTTTTCCTATTGAATACTGAATGATTCGTGGCGTTTACATTTGGTTTATAGCGCCGCTGACAATACACCTTGGGCGCAGTTTCCCACGCCACGTGCGTAGTTTGAGCGTTACTAAGAGGATTTTTTTTTGCCGTTTTTTTACCGTGTTAGTTTTGGCGAAGGAATTTAGGCTGTGTTAGAAGCAATAACTTCGAATCGTCGCCGGATAGACCCTTATTTGTTATTCGTTTTTATTATCCTGTACAAGAATACAAGGAATCAGACGCATAGAAGTTGTTGTGTCTTATTTATTCTGCCAAGCGTAGCTGGCCCCTACAAATACTATAAAGTTTTACCTGTGGTACGATTCCTTAGTTTACAAATACTACAACGCTGGACGTCAATTTCATGTCAAGCGTGGTAAATTACGTGAAAAATAAATGGTGTACCCAAAGATTTATTTTAAAACTATGTGAGGCAGCTCTATGTGAGGCAGCTCTACAAAATACTGCAGCCACAGCAGCATTGTTGGGGGTAGTCTGGAGCATATACCTTGTGATCATGACCGTAGACCCAGAAGCGGCTTGATTGCTCCTTCCATTGGTAGGCAACCTCGGACACGGGTACTGCTCGCAGCTGTTGACGCTGAAGACAAAGACATATTCATAGCTAGTTAGTGGGGCGCGTATGTTTGGCATTAGGGAGGAAACAGGTGGACAAACCACGCAGAGTGGACGGCAGCAAGAATCTCCTCTGTCAAAGCGTCGTTTTAAATAGAACTTGTAAGCGTATCCACCAAATTACCATGAAAGTCACAATCAGCAATAGGATCTTTGACACACTATCATCGAAATCGCAGTCTTCTAAATAGCATACCACATCTACTTTCGATTTAATTTACTGAGGCGCGTTTTTACTTGTCTACCCAAAGATGGGAAATTAGAGTTATTAATGTGGTCAGGTATAGCTATTCATATGAAAGACCTATCTACCTGCATAAGAATGCTCTTGGCTGGCCACTTGTTGCTGTGTTCGTCTACAAGCCTCTTCGAGCCCACGTTCACTTGCTGGTCAAAAAAGCTCGTGATTGGCCAAACCTTAACGGGGATCAAAGAGAACAAGGTTGTAGTTTAGTAAGAACGTGAAGGTGAAAGAGACAGCAATATTCTTTTGAGTGTTAAAAGAAAAACTGAATTGCTTTCGTTTTTCAGTTGAATGCCCAGAGTAATCCAGGACTGCATTGGTTTTGTTTACTTTGCTCAGTGATTGGAGCAGAAAACTCGCACCTCTCTCTCTCAACCAATCAGATGCAAAACTAGCACCAATCACGATTGGTCGCCCGCGTTTTCCCGCGCTTCAGGCAGTTTACTCGTTTTAACTTTGAGTTCTCATTGGTTCTCCGGGGTATTTTCCTTTTTTTCTGATTAGCCGTTGTGACGTTGGTTTCCGGTTTCACGACAATCAATTGACATGATGATAGGTCTAAAATACGCCAATTCCTAAACCAAGCAGATGCAAATTAAAACCAGTCGCAAATCAGTTTACATTTTCTCGTGTTTCAGGAAGTTTTGTAGTTCTTCGACCTCTCAAAAACTTCTTGCGACATTCCCGTTTGTTTTCATTGGTTACTGTGTTAACTTTGCTTTGGCATTTAAGACCCTCTGGCCACGGAAGAACAATTTCCATTTGAGTCCATTGTAATCCGGCAGTTCAATTTCTTTACTTTAATTTAGCTCTGCGAACTAGAAAAGTCGCCCCGCGCCGTCAACCAATCATATGTAAAATTAAAACAAATCGCGACAACGTCACTCGCGTTTTCCCGCGCTTGAGACAATTTTCTTGATTCGATTGTGAATTCTTATTGGCTCCTTGTGATATTTCCCTCATTCTGATTGGCTTTGCTTTAAGTTTGGAAACTCAATCGAAAGGCACACAATGATTATTTTAGACGATTAGTTTATTGGAAAGGAAAAAAACTCACCCTTGGTAGTTCTTGCCTGAATATTTCAGTTCCTTGGGAATTAACGATGAGATCAGCAGGCAACCGATCTGTTCTCTCCACGACATGGTTAGACACATGGTTCTCCCTTAAGAATAAATAAATGATTATGATACCAATAACAACGATGACGGTGAAGATAATGATAATTAGGATAAAAATGATAATGATAATAATAAAGATAATAATAACTGTTAACAGCTCAAGAGACTGCCACAATTTTCATCCATTCGATTTTCAAACAGATCAGTTGAACGAGTCGCAGGTGTTCACACGAACAGGCTACTCCTCGGGAACTGCTTACTAGGCCTAGTCAGCGAATTGTTCCAGGGCGAAACCTCACTTGATAGAACATGAAGAAGTTCATGAATGTGTATGGCTTCATTAACTTACCACTTTACGGTCAGCTCAATGAAGGTTTTCAACTGGGCTTGTCCCAAACACGTCCCACACTTTATTCGGCCGTGGCCATTACAAACCTCGCAACTGCAATCGAAAAAGACTTCTTATGGCATCTTTCTTTAGAATGAGGAGGGATGTTGTTGCCGTAAAAAGATTTGTCCACCTCTCTTTAAAATCTACAAGAGCTGTGTCAGTGGTTTTGTTGTGTATATTGTTATACCCAAATAAACAAACAAACCAATGAAAACCATGAATAAAGGGGGTAAATTTCGGAAGAGACTGTGGTGCTGCGTCGGTGGGAGAGAATAACAGGGTAATTTAGTGTTATCAACTGAGTTCATACTGCAAATTGACCACCGTAAAGAGTTTAAAAGCAGACATTTCGAGCGTAAGCCCTTCGTTAGAAACGAAATGTCAGCTTTTACACTCATTACGGTGGCCAATTTACGTTATCAACTCAGTTGATAATACTAAATTTTAATGCAAACCATGACAGTTCTGTACTCACGTTTTCCAACCTCTACCTATGCAGTTGGTACACTGCTCTCTTTGCTCCGTTCCTTCAACGAGACCAGAACCCTGGCACCTGGAACATCGCAACTAGAAATAAAGATTAAATATATTGGTAAATAAACATATATATTTATCTTATTAAACGTTTTGGTGTGTAGTATCACTCAGTATTTTACGAGTCACGCAAGTTGCAAAGAGAAAATCTCAGTCTCCCACGATTGATCAAACCCAAGTTCTTCGGATTTCACGAGGAATAGAATCCTTGTCCTACGGATTTCACGAGGAATCGAAACCCAGATGTTTGAATTTCACAAGGAACTGAATACCAGTTCTTCGGATTTCAAAATGGAATCGAATCCCCGTCCCTCGGATTTCACGAGGAATCGAAACCCAGATCTTCCAATTTTACGAGGAATCGAATCCCGGACCTTCGGATTTCAAGAGGAACCGAATTCCAGATATTCGGATTTCACGGGAAAACGAACACCAGATCTTCGGATGGTCGCGCTCGGATGGTCAACAGCATCGGAGTACGAAATCGAAAGGTTTAGAGTTCGATTCCTCTTACGGAGATTTCTTTTTATTGGTTTCTTACACGGTTGTGAGTAAACAAACAGCATCTTTCTTCGTCAGAAAAGGATATGATAGTAAAAATTTTAGCATCAACCTACCCTTCCACGCCCACAACACTTATAACAGCGCTTGTATCCCACAGCCATACAATCATGACACGGCTACGAATAAATGTGAAATAAAACATCATGAACACAAGATCAAAGTAAAATAAAACTTTTTTCATAATAAATTGGCCACGCTGAATAAAACTGACAGTTTTGAACCTCTCTTACATTTGACCCTGGGGGCGTGTTGACTCTAAAGAGTTAAATTTCTTCGAGGTTGGACTCCATATTCAAGCGTGTGATCAAGTTGGCTGTATACTGGCCAAGTTCGTTTTTGCGTTTTCATGGATAGCTCGCTGAAGTGTTATATTGTTTTTATACTCTCTAGACAAGCGGACTCAAACGCGAAGCGAGCGTGAAGCTTGAATCACGCGCGAAAGGAAGAGCATGAAAAAGTATTATTCCCCCTTTTCGCGCGCGACTTAGCCCAAACGCTGACCCCACCTGAAAACATCCGAAAACGCAAAATATGACGCTTGTTTTGTTTCATGGATCAAGACCACGAAGCATGTTTTTTTTCTTAGTTTTAAGTGTCTTCGAGATGTTTCTTTTGATTTCAATGTTTGAAAAGTACCGCAAAGGATTCTTCTTGTAAAAGGAAAAAAAAAAGGCTTGGAAGTTATGTACTATGTAAACCGTCCACAGGGATTGCTTTTCCTGCGGGTTCGAAACGGGTGATCACGAGTGGTCGGGTAGCCAATAAGAACTCAGGATTCAATTCATCTTTATCCCACGGGGTGCAAGACATACAGTTCTTATTCTTAACCATTTACACCCTAACATCATTATGCATATTCTCCATACTGTTCTCTATACATTTCCCAAAGTGCTGACGAGGAGAATTTGTTTAACAATCAAGAGGTTATTCAGTTGATGATCATTTCCTTTATTCTCGTGACCCTCGTGTGTGACTCAGGGGAGATATTGTGAGGAGAAATTACATGCTAGTCACACTTTGGGGTCAAATAGTTCAAAGGGGGCATTGTCGCGTAACGAAAAAAAAACTGTTCATACTTTGATATTGGCGGTGTGAGGAACCTCAATATTGGCTGTATGGTCCTTAAACAACTGAGGGGGATTGGCAGGAATGCTCCATGGCGGTGGAGCAGGTCCGTTCACAGGGCTGTCTATTGGCTGACCTGACAATACAAAGATTTTAACCAATTATTCATTCATTCATTTGTTTGCGTTATCCAGACAGGCTGACCCATTTCAGCATAAGAGCTGGTTTGAATGGGTTGCCTGTATAGACAATAACAAGGCCAAAACACAACACTAGGAGCTGCGTCTCCTTCTCTTTGAGAGAAGCGCGTGTGTTCACTTACGTATAACGGGGGTATGTTTCTAGAGAAACTGTGGAAAGAACAACAAGGTAACTTAGTATCATCAACCGAGTTAGCACTTAGTCCTTCGCTCTGAAAAAGGGCAAACAACCGAAACGTCAGCTTTGAAACTCTTAACGGTGGCCAATTTACGTAATCAACTCAGTTGATGATACTAAATTACCTTGTTGCTCTCTAACGTCCCCTACTAACCAGTACAGAGAAGATGCAGGAGACAGGGCCTAGCTACGATTTTTCGTCCATATCCGAGAAGACTAGATCTCTAATCATATGCGGAAGTATTAGCGATGGCAATACATTCTCCTCAATTATTTTACGACCCTGAGTGTTGATCTGGTGTGGGGCTTGAACTTTCAACCTCCCGCACGGCAGTCCGGCGCTCAACAACATGAACTACAATACTGAAGTTTTTCCTTCTATTTTGAAACTACATTTCTAGGAGGTGTATCTCCGCAAACTGAGACAATTTCCAGAGTAGTAAGCAACAGAAATTCTATGCGTAAAAGAGAATTTTACGAAAAAATTATCAAAATCTAAGCTGTCACAAAGATATGATACTTCTTAGTACCTCGGTAAGGTTCAAATTTCCACTCAGTTTTACGTGATTCACAGAAACTTTCCAGAGAGTACTGCAAAAGTAAAATTCAATGAAAAGAAACTTGAAAAAAATGCAATATATTACATTGGTACTTTGAATGATAAAGATGAAAATCTGAATTCTTTTACTGATTCTTTCAAAAAAAGAGGCAAAATTAAGATCTGGTTGTTACTTCTCCCCTCTCGCTGCTACACACTTCCTTGTAAATTAGTTGCGAGAATTTGGTGTTAGATCAAGATAACAATTTTTACTTGATAAGTCTGAGTATTGTCATAACCTGTTTGCTGGATAATGTATGTATATTACTAAGATATCATTACACGTTCATCACTTCTGGGAGTTAAAGAGTTAAAGAAGGACACATCAAGAAAAATTGTACTTACATGATAAGCACTTGAAGGAATGACATCTTTAATCACCATTTCCCTCGCTGGAGCTGTTCCATAACAACAGTTTTCACTCACAAACTGAATCATTGCATCTCGAGCTTGGTCATCTGTTATTGCAGTGGCTCTAAAAAAGTGCAAAAGTATTCAGTATTTGTCATTGCTTTCCATTAGTTCTTTTTCCATAACTGCACTCTCTTTGTTAGACTGGGTATCATTCAGTGATCCTTTGACCCTACTAGCTTAAGGTAACTAGTATCGAATTTCTCCATACAATATCACCTATGAATCACAGATTAACGTCAGGCGAATAAAGAAAATAATCCCTAACTAAGGAAGCTCTTTATTGTTACACAAATTCTCCTACTCAGCACCTCTAAGAAATTCATAGAGAACAGTATGGAGAATAAGCATACTCACCTACTGATGATAGGGTGTGACGGGCTAAGAGGTGGTAGGGGGGGGGGGGTTTGAGACCAAAACCAACCATGCCTTCTAATAACCATGAGGAACATATGACCCTTGAGAGTTGTGAGTGTTAAGGGGATAAGAAAAAATATTCCCAACCCCCCCCCCTCCATGTTATCCTTGACTGCACCTTGCAGAGAAAATTCCAAGGGTATAAGAATAATTTTATGAAAAAAATATCAAAATCTAAGCTGTCACAAAGATATGATACTTCTTAGTACTGATCATACTGATCATACTGATGATAGGGTGTGATGGGTTAAAAAAGGTGGCATGGAGGGGGGGGGGTTTGAGACCAAAACCAACCATTATTTCAAATACCTTCTAATAACCATGAGGAACATATGACCCTTGAGAGTTGTGAGTGTTAAGGGATAAGAAAAAATATTCCCACCCCCCCCCCCCCCCCATGTCATCCTTGACTGCACCTTGCAGAGAAAATTCCAAGGGTAGAAATGTGTTGAAGTGATGGAAAAATGTGAAATCACATACTTAGACAAACACTTGATGAAAATCTTAAATGTTCAAAATTTAAAAAAACCATATGGCACATTTTACAGTTATTCAACCAGCCTCATGTGTGAATGATGGGATGTCATATTCTATTTGATCTTCCGGCAACTCGGCCAACAGAGCAAACATAATTTTAGTGAGCAAGTACTCAGTATTTTCTCACTGAAAAGTCAGTGGAAGGCTGGGGAGAGAAAGAAATTTGTACCAAAGGGGGAAGGAAGGGGTGGGCAATTGTCTTCTTACCTTTCCCTGACCTCTCCCCCCACCATCCACTATAATTCTACATCAAACAGGGCTGGTTGGATAAATGATCGCAAGTTCATAACCTCAACTTGCCCTAATACTTTTACTTCCTGATCAGTTTACAAAACTTGTTCTTCAGGCTATCAAAACAGGTTGGGTTGATACATTTAATGGTATCATGATATTTTGTGACGCAAATTTACAAAATAAAAACAATAAAAACTCAACCATTAAAAAATCTATGTAACTAACACCAAATGATGAAGTAAAACTCACTGTTGGAAGTGCTGTTCTGGCATCTGTGAGGAGGGAGGGGGCACATATGGGGGTGGAGGAGGAACATATGAACTGCCTTGAATGAAATATATTTGAACTGCGGTTAAAGATGCGAATGAATGAAATATGAATGAAATATATGACTTCCATATATTCACAACCGTATATGAACTGCCTGTTGGATTAGATAAAATAGTTACAAAATTTGTAGCAATATATACAAAACTATAATGTTACCACTTTGCAAAACTACGTTTATGTAATGTTGCCAAGGAGTAAATCTCATGAACAAGGGTCAATCAATAAATAAAAATTTTAATAAATATCAAATAAATCTGACTTATAAGAAGACATCCATGAGGTGGGAAAGGGTACCTGATATGAACTGGCATTCCACCCAGGGGGGATTAGCAATGCTCTTAATCACTCATTCCATGTGGCAGAAAATGTGGAGATATTAGTTCCAGTTGTATTCATACAATTCATGAGCCACTTGACTCCAGTAAAGAATTGACCCTATTTTAGTGAGACACACTTGGTAAATTCATTAAAATTTGTAAAAAATCCTCATTAGCCTACCAAATTGTGTTTGTTCATATCCAGAGTAATGCGCAAACATGTCAGGAGGGGGTGCAGAGGGAGCTGGAGGCTTGCCAAACTGGTTATCAAACACATCCTGAGGGGGTACATCTGAGCCTGAATATGTAGGTCTGTCTACTCTACCTGTCCAATGATAAATCAGTTTATAAATTATGTGAAGAACTACATTTTAATTTTTTGTATTTATCTATTTGGAACACTATGATAATCACTGACAGGGAAGCATGATAAACTAGGTTAACTTCCAAAAGTGACTAGCATCTAATTTCTCCTTACAATATCACCCCTGAATCACGCAGTATGGTTACAAGAGTAAAGAAAATTTTCAGCAGCTAAAGAAGTTGTTGATTGTTGCACAAATTCTCCTTGTCAGTACCTTAGGGAATGTATAGAGAACAGTATGGAGAATATACATACTGATGTTAGTGTTTAAAGGGTAAAATACATAAAGGTGTATTGCAACAGTACCTAAATGAAGCCACCAGGTTCATATGAAGTTAGCTAACAAATGTTCGAATTAATATATAACATAGAACAAGACATGTGGGGGAGAAGCCAGATTCAGATCACAAGGGAAAAGAAGAAAAAAAGAAAAGAAGAGGTTAATAATTTTTTTATTAGGAATTTTCAGTTTATTTTTGAAGGATTTTAGAGTTGCAGTTTTTTTAATTTTGAAACTAAGGGTATTGAAATTGAATGTCAATCCTGGAAAGTAACAAAGAATGTCTGAACTGTTGGTTTGCTAGAGTGAGCATAGGTTGGAGTTCATCTCATTATGGGATAATTGTGATGAATGTTTTAACTAGCATAGAGAAAATAGAATTGGTTGTGAGCTTCCCTTCCCTTTTCTTGGATTCAAGGAAAGGGTCCAGGATCTGTGGATCCCCATTTTGATCAGACCAGTGTAAATTTTTATTAGAAGTACATACGTCCGAAATCAACATTCTTCCAACTTTCATATCACTACTCAGCTTGAAACATGTAAAGTTTATACTTTTCTTGAAATATTTCTTGGCTTGTTTAGACAAGTGATGGGAATTTAGAAAAGTATCAATTAGGGGATTATTAGTTGATCCAATACCAAATTCTCCAAACTAACAACATAGGAATTGTATGGCAAACAGTAAAGAGTATTGCTAATGAGATCTGGGAGTTTAAGGGTTACACTGGATACTATGAGAATTTGGTGCTTTGCCATCTATGAAAAAAAAAAATGGTAACTTTATAACATTATCGCAAACTTAAATGGATGATTGGATTTCAAAATCTATAATCAGCAGTTATCAACAGAATCAGAATTTTATCACCATCAGTTTGTGTCTGAATTATTTCAGTTACTCACCAGTAATGGCTAGGGATCCATGGCCAGGTTGCTGAGGGGCTGGGGGACCATACCCTGGCTGAGGAACAAAGCCAATCTGGGGTTGAGCTGGAAAGGAAAAAATTCAAATGTGTAGCAATCTACGATTAATCCTTTAGCCCTTTCACTCCCAAGATCTAATTAGTAATTCTTCTTACTGTCTGTCATACAATCTTTTGATATTATGTGGGAGAATTTAGCATTGGATCAACTTCCAGTCACCTAGATTATCTCCTGCTTTATTGTAAGGAGAAGTTTTCTCTTGGTCACTCACAGGAGTTTAAGGGTTAACTCCTATGAGCGACCAAGGCAGAATTTCTCCTTACAATGTCAATACAATATCAACCAGATAAGTGACAAGAATAAAGAAAAACATAAACTTGGGGATAATTAGTTGATCCAATACTAAGTTCTCTGAACTAATGTTATAAGAATTGTAGGTTGACAGTTAGGAGAGTTACAAATTTGATCTGGGAGTTAAAGAGTTAACCCTCTACACCCTAACTTCGGAAAGCACTATTATTCTTCATACTGTTCTCTAGACATTTTATAAGGTGCTGACAAGGAGAATTTGTTTGACAATCTTGAGCATCTTTAATTGCTGATCATTTTTTTTTTATTCTCATGACTTTAATGTTTGATTCAGGGATGATAATGAAGGAGAAATTAGAAGCTAGTCACTCAATGGGGTTTAAGGGCTATCAAGGGGACCATGCACTTATGTTACTTGCCATAAATCAGTCACACAATTAACTTACAAATTGTAGACGAGACTTTGTGATAGAGGATTGAACACTGATGAAAAATTCTTAGATATACTATTTAAAAAATGAGGACAAGGGTTTCATCAGGGTTTCCAAAAATGAGAAAACTGATAAAAGCACCAGGCTGCAAGGCCAAGTACTTTAAATGTTTTAGAGTGTTTGGAAATCCTGATGCACAAGTTTTTGAAACTGCTTCTCAACTGCACCTTAGGGATAAAAGAAAATTGAAATATTCACAAATTTTTTGTATGTTGTCAGCAAGTTTGTTGTTACAAAAAATTGTATTGTTATGGTGATTTCTCTTTTCAGAAAGGGTGTAAGCAATGTTATCACAATGCTGAGGTTTCTGAGGTGTTGGCACCTAAGTGCAGCACTAGCAAGGAAGAAATGAGTAAAGACACAGAAGGTACTGTTGAAATTGGTAATTTGAGGAGTTCTTGTGATCAGTTTATGGCCTCTGCCTACTTTAAGAAAAGTAAAATAAATATTAATGTAAACAAGGGAATGAATGTGATCATACTTTCTTTAGACAATGTCTTATTTCTTCTTATTAGAGAGGGTGTTAATAAAGTTTGTTTGTTTTTGTGGGTGTCTTTGTTTTAAGTATTCAAATACATGTTATTAATATCCAAATTAAGAAATGAGTTCACTTGAGTTTGATGCCTTATTATATGAAACTCATGGATAGCACATCATTCCAGTGTTTCACCAGGGTTTCAAACCACATGCATGTGACCAAATTGGCATGTCTTGGTTGGATGACCCCCTTATGAATAATTAATGCTTTGAAAATGTGAACTAATAATCTGATTGCAAACCACTAATCCATTGTCTACTCATGATTCAAGAAAAAATTCATCAACTATCCCCATGTATGTACTGTTTCATTAATATACCTGGTTGATAACCTTGAAGAGGTCCATAGGCATATCCAGTAGGGGGATAAGGCGCTTGACTCATAGTGACTGCAGTCCAACAATTATCATGAATTTCTGACAAACAGATGTTATAAATAATAGATATAGACTAAGATATAATAAGGAAGATATAAAAAGCTGTCACCCGAATTTATTGAAAACTGTAAGCAACATAGCTTAGTTTTGGAAGCTAATTTTAAGATATGAGTTTCAATTCCAACTTTTTTTCCGGTTTTGCACGTGGGTACTCAAACCTTGATATTCATCGACTGAACAAATCTAGGATTGCAATAACGAGTGTGAGGATAGAAATTACACTTTCGATTCTTGTGGAATTTAACACGCCATTGTGAATATTTCGTTATTAGCATACAGTGAGCTGGGATCATAATTTAGAGACATGCAAACAGGTATCGTTTTCGTTTTCCAAACAGATATCGAGAAGACATATTACACGCATTTACAGCTGAAAACTCCTCCACTTTGTCTAGTATCAATTTTCACACTTTCTGATCCTTACAATAAAACACAGATTAAGAGGTGAGAAACGCCAAAAGCAAGTCTGCCGCAGTCGCGCCTCCATGCATGGAAAATACATCTACATGGGACATTGATATCGATCGTTTCATAGCTACCAACACAAAACGCAATAGGAAATACACGACACCTTACCCTATCTAATGAAAGGAGCCCTAAAAATGTAATAGCTTGCTTGTATTTGGCTCTCTCAGCCTGCGTGATCTTACCTCACGTCCTTTAGAACGCAACTCAACGGTGCATGACGAGGATGAATGTAATCGATATTCTGCTCTCAAGGTATAATAAAATAATGCTATGGGAGGGATGGTCGTTAATTCATCGCCTAAGGCTCTTGAGTGAGTGTGAAGACCTGTGAAGCTAATTTAATACAGAACTGGAAGTGTGTCAGGAAGGAGATCTTTAGCTAAAGAAAACATAATGCGTCGACTTGTTTCAATTTTAGGGTAATTGTTGCGAATGCATTATCTCCTCTGCCCTCCCCAAGTCGGGTGCGTCTTGTACGAGTTTAAGCCGAGCAGAGGTAGGTACGAGGCAGGTGCAGAGCGAAGCGGGGAATGCTTCCGGCTTGCTTAACCTCTCTCCGCCCTGCTCACGACTTAGGCCCGTCACTATTTTTCGCCAGCGGGGGGGAGGCAAGGGTCGGAGGAAAGGATATATGACAGCGGGTTAAGCGATCATCTCGTGCAGGTGACGCACGACCTGCGTCGTTAAGAATAATTGTGACGTCAGTCTTTACTTCACTCGTTTTCGCGGCAAGAGCAAGATTGAGCTTTTTGTGAGAGAGGACAAAAAATTCGGAGACATATCGAAGATGAAGTGGTTGAGTGCCCTTCCCTTGCGAAATGGCTTTTGGAATTCCCAGGAATTTTTTCCTAGGAATTCCTAGGAATAAAGGTGTGAATTTTCACGGTAAATTCGGACTGGGAATTCTAGGAATTCCCAAACATAACAACTCTGGTTCTAAAAACCTAGAAATTCCTAGAAATTCCCAGAAATTCCCAGAAATTCCCAGAAATTCCCAGAAATTCCAAGTTTACAGCCAACAGGACTTGGAATTCCTAGGAATTCCTAGGAATTCCAACTCAGAGAACCAATGACTTTCCCTGAAAAGCTGTAAATCTAAAAAATTCCTAGGAATTTCTGGGAATTTTTGGGAATTTTTAGGAATGTTTAAGAATTACTGGGAATTTTAAGCAAAAATTTGAGGCTAATGATATAAAATAAATACTTTAAATTAAAAAAACCCAGCTAAAATTCAAGTATTCAATGAAATTTATTTACAAGCTTAATTAAGGCTTACATGTAAAATATTTTTGATTAATTTTAACATCAACATGTGGTAATATTAGGATGGAATTTGATTTATTTTTCTTTTCTTGAAAACTTCATACGGATTAATCCTCAATTACAGCTATTCATATAAAATAGTCCTAATCAATCATTAAATTTGGTTTGACACAAATTGTGAATAAAATCTGTTGATTCTTTTCCATAAACTACAATATCTTAAATTATATTTGAAATCAAGCACTTTTGGGAGTGAAGGGGTTAATTACAGACAAATAAAATTGATTTTTTCATTAAAATCTTGTTGTAACTGTAACAATAAGTTAGAATGAAGTTATCCTAAACTGCAAACTTAGCTGCTGTTTGTATTTTTTTCCTGGGCTCACAATGAGTCGGCCTTGAATGAGGTTGTCCACAAGAAGCTTGACCATTTTGTATCTGGATTCCATGACATCTGAATTTGAAAAAAAAATATATTTAAATATATATATTTAAAGCTCAGACCAGGCCTTTAAGATGGCTATGAGGAAAAGGGCATTCATTGGATTCTCAAATTGAGAAATCTCTGTTATATTGAGTGACTTTTATATTGGAGTTTGTACATCTCTCATAGATTTTACTAAAAAAGGGCTGAATACATTATTTTGTTTTTACCAAGGAGGGCTTCTTTATGTAATAAGGTTTGTTTAATAACAGTTCCTATTGTGAATCTTGAATGTTCCCAAACGTGACTAAAGGAATCTTGAAACCTTACTGATAGGTTTATTTCATTTTAAAGCATAAGCTTAAGAAACTGCGGCATGCAAGTGACCGATTCGATTCTCAGAATTATTCTAGTTTCAGTTGCGCCGAGCGTTATGTAAGCTTAATTCAACCCGCTACATCTATTCTTTTATAAGATTTTGATCACGTAACGAATATCGCAATTTTTACTCACCACAAACTTTCAAAATCGTAGCTTTACAGATGGCCACTCGACCCTCGTTTGTACCAGTCAATATGTCAACTGTTGTCCCTTCTTTTAACTCCACGGCGCCAACGACTTTCATTTCTTTTACAACACTCACGCTGTTCTCGTTTTCCCATTGAACCACAATAAAAGCTATCTTTAGAAATGTTATATTAAGCAAAACAATTGAGAAAAACGATCAACCGATGAAAAGTACATTCAAAGATGAGCGCCAAATGGAGTCTTCTTTGTTTCCGATCACGGGCATGATCACGTGGATCTTTTAGGACTTGTAATTGGCTAGCAAGGTGAATCCGCTGGCTTGCCGATTGCAGTGTTAAGAGGAGCGCACATCTTTATTCTGACTTCTCCGACCGGTTCTCTGCTTCTAGACGATGGATACCTTGGTGATATAAATAATGATGTGAGCTCACTCTATGTAGAAAGAATCGATCGTATTACAAATGCACGATTTGTGGCCGAAAGTTGTCGAGGAAACAAAGACTCGAAACTCACTTGAGTTGTGTTCATGGCGAAGGTGAAATACAAGCTAATCACAGTTTTGAATGCGACTACAAATCGTCTTTTACCCTCATATTTATAAAAGAAGGATACCACATTAGGAAGTATAAGAGATACACAGATGATCCCAGTGTACCAGTACCTAAATCTACAAAGCTTGACCGTAGCAAGCGTTCAGCAACATGTTCTAACACCGCCATCTCGATTCCTCAGTCAGTCGTTTCCACTGAACTTAAAGCAGTAATGACAACAGAGTAGAGTGCGTCTTACAAAGGAGAAACATTTGTACAAGAGACAGAAGTAACTATATGCGATTACAGAGGTGCGTTGGAACTCTGGTCCACAAATAGTTATGCACTGTCCGAAGTATAAAAAAATTTTGTTGATAGCCGACAGACAGAGAAGAACAACAAGTAAACTTTAGAGCTGTTATTATTGAAGTGTGACTTGCAATTTTCATTTTATATAAAGAAGGACTTGTATTTTGCACCAAAAATAGAAAGATGTAATATTTTTTGGGAGATCCAGTGATTGGGACATTTAAGAAATTTAGTTATGAAAGGAAACTTGGTTGGTACTTCTCACTACTAGCAAGTCTTGTTGACAAATATTTTCAGATCAGAGTTTCAAATAAAGTAAATTGAAGATGTCATTTAAAAAGTGTTTTTTCTCAAAGGGCACATTGACTACCTCTGTCTTGTCTGCATGCCAAATGTTTGCAAAGCGTGTGGATGATCCACAAGTATTGGAACTCTTACAAAAATGTTTTGTAGGAATAAAAACAGCCAAACAAATTACAGCAATTAGTCACGAAAACAGAGCAAAAAACTGAAAAAAAAACAGCAACAACAATCATGAAAAAAGAAAGATTAATTAGGTGTTGAATTTGTTTGTCTAAGGCATGAAATTTCTACTAAAAATGTTGTCAACAAAAAGTCTCTGACAGTGTTTGAGGCAACTGAGCTTGACTGTTCTAAGGTTTTCTAACAAAGGCAACCAGTAATGTAGGTTAGGGAAGTAAGATAACAATGTAATTATTGTTAATTATTGTGGAAGTTGTGTACCAAGGAACAGCTAATGAATGTTTGATGATTTTGGCACATCAGTGAACATGAGACATTAATTTGCATCACAATAAAAATATTTTTTGATCATGGAATCCAAGAGTCCTTTGAGGTTAGAAAGCAAATCTGTGATAAGAGTACATTGGATTAATTGGCAATTTCCATTTAACATAACTGACAGCTGGTTCATGAGAAAATCCATATCAATGTTAAGATTTACTTAAACTTAGTTTGAATAATAAATTTCATGATCTTTAAGTTATAAACATATACATGTATGTATATCTCTTGGTAAGTTTTGTATAGCATACCTTTTATTAAGCCAAAGTTTTAAGCCTCTGAAATTACTCCTTTTCTTAAAACCTTCACATTCAAGGTATTGAGAATTTATTAGAATTTATGTGGACCTCAGGGTATTAAAATTGCCTCAAATTCAATTCCCAGAAATTCCCAAGAGTTCCACACTTCTTAAATTATAGGTAGTTTGTAAAGCTGAGAATTCCTAGGAATTCCTCGGGATTCCAAGTCCTCACAAAACTGGAGTCTTCCTTTCCCAGAAATTCCCAGTAATTCCAAGCTTTTTAAATCAGAGTTAATTTGCATAGTTGGGAATTTTTGAGAATTCCCAGGAATTCCCAGGAATTCCCAGAAAACTGGGAATTCAGTTTGCAAGGGTCATTTGCATAACTGGGAATTTTTTGAGAATTCCTAGGAATTCCTAGAAAACGGGGAATTCAGTTCGCAAGGGTTATAGCGCTTTCGTTTTTATTTGCGTTTTCAGATGCTACAATCAGTGCTAAACTGGACGGTAAGGTATTTCCTCCCTCTGAAAAACAAAAGAAACATTTTTCTCTATGTTGACGCCTTACGGCTAATGATCTTTCTGGACTTATTAATAGAAACAAGGATTTAACCCGACATCGTCTCGTCAAGCGGTCTATATTCGTTAATGGATCGATCAGTTTTCCTTGCTAAATCTGTCTAGTTAATTATGAGATTTGACTTTTTCGCCAAGGAGATTCTCATGAAAAGTACTTTTGTATCCGCAAAAGAAATGTTTCTTGTTGCTATGGTAGCTGCGCGCGTGGTTTTACGTTCATTTTTTTTTTTTTTGTAGCATGCGCTCCAGAAACGGTTACGCAGCGCAAATTCTTTTTTGTGTCTCTCCAAATCAAGGGGTGTTGACCATTTCAAAGAACCTACAAGAGCGCAAAACTGAATTTTTTGTTCCCACTGCCATGATCAGTATTCATTTTTTTTTTCTGTGTAGAAACTCTTCTGAAAGTTAGTGAGATGCAGGGCCGAAATGATTTGTACCAACACAAGATGATGATGACTGGAACTTGGGACGACGAGGTTTGGCAAAATTTAGATTGCTGACAAAAACAAGTTGTTGACTGCAATTAAGAAATAATAAATTTATAATTCGAAACCTTGCATCGCGGGGCAAGACACCTACTCTTGCAGCGTCTTTCTCCATAATTACGTACCAGGGATGCGCGAGTCGCTACAATCTCGCCCCCAGGGTCGTTTTGGTCATTTGTCGGCGGTATGGCTGTCGCTACAAAGAGCCAAAATGACCTTGGGCTCTAGACTGGAGTCGTCAAGGAAACCTGAGAAATTGAGGAGGATCAGAAATCTGCGAAGAACTGTTGAACTTTAGAGACTGGAATATGCTCTAGCCGCGCGGACCTCTTTTTAATGTATTTAAGATGGATCAGAAATGATTGAACATATCATGCAAAATGAAATCGTTTCCAAGCCTTTTCATGTAAAATTATTTTTTGTGTGTGTACAGCAGCTGATTGCAGTCAAGATTGAGATTCCGTCCATGAATGTTAAACTGAAGTTGATTTACGAAAAAGCTTCCATTGCTGTTAACAGCAAAGCTCATGTCTACGTCAAACCTGAACTTTCAAAGGTATTAGATATGACAGTTCGTTTAATGCACCATCAAGGACCAGTCATTTCTTTTTGACAAAGGAGGGGGGGTGGAGGATTTTGGCAGGGATCACATTTTCTCTGGGGACAGAGGGAGGATCGGTCAGCGTCGCTAATGAGAGTATACAAAATGGGAGCCATATGAAAAAATGCCCACGGGTGGGGGGGGAAGAGGAATCATAGAAATATTACAGAGCCTTATGGGGGATAAAATAAATTTTTCCGTGACACAACCAAAATCTTCCAACGTCCCCCCCGTCCTCCCAATATCTTTATTACTTTTATGTCTTAGAATACCAAACTAACCGGAATATTATTTCTAATGTCACTTGGCTAATAAATTCTCTAAATTGACATTGTCAGATCTTCAATTGCAAGAAAATAATTCAGGATCTCGGAAACACAACATGCTTTGATTACGAGGCTTTCGAGATTACAAACCCTGGATTAATACCCCAGATGTGGAACTTCACAGTGACAGTAATGACTCGGGTGCAGGACGGTACGGTGGAATTGACCTCTTGCATATGGAAGAAATGCATCATGGTCTCAAGGACAGTGACTGGCAAAGTATGGAATGGACTTGAAGACATCTGGATCGGAATGGTAAATTGGGCTCGCGGAAAAGTCGCATGGCTTTCAGGCTTGACGTGGAACGGTGCGCGGTGGCTTGGAAAATTGTTGTGGAGGTGTGCCGAGTGGTTGGCTGAGGTTATCTTGAGTGGATTTCAATGGTTCGCTGAGGTTATCTGGAATGGAATAAAATTGTTGGCTGGGATTTTTTTGGAATGGACTTCAACTGTTGGCTAAGGTTATCTGGATTGGACTTCAATTGTTGGCTAGGGTTATCTGGAATGGACTTCAACTGTTGGCGGAGGTTACCTGGATTGGACTTCAATGGTTGGCTATGGGTATCTGGAATGGACTACAATTGTTGGCTGGGGTTATCTGGAATGGACTTCAATTTTTGGCGGAGGTTATCTGGATTGGACTTCAATGGTTGGCTAAGGTTATCTGGAATGAACTTCAATTGTTGCTTGAGGTTATCTGGAAAGGACTTCAATTGTTGGCGGAGGTTATCTGGATTGGACTTCAATGGTTGGCTAAGGTTATTTGGATTGGACTTCAATGGTTGGCTAAGGTTATCTGGAAAGCACTTCAATTGTTGCCTGAAGTTATCTGGAAAGGACTTCAATTGTTGGCTAAGGTTATCTGGAATGCTCTTCAATTGTTGGCTGAGGTAATCTGGAATGGAATTCAATGGTTAGCTGAGGCTATCTGGACTGGACTTCGATGGTTGATGGATTTTACCATAAATGCAACATATTCGTTCGCCAAGATGATCCAAAATATGTCAGCTGAGCTGACCAAGATGATGACTAACGGAGTTATGTGGATTGTTGAACCGTTTGTTCCTGTCGTCTGCTATATAACTGACGTTGCTGTCGAGTTTTACTTTGGTTTCCTCCGTGGTAAGTCAATTGTTCACCAATTTGAATTTGACAAGTCATAGTTGGCCTAGCCGAGGAGAGAGTGACCATTTCACCTCTCACTTTTTGGCTGGAATAGATTATTATAATCATTAGTATTATAATTGTTATTATTATTATTATTATTATTATTATTATCATTATTACTTAACTATTATTTTCTCTATATAGGGGCTACACGGTGCACTTTAAAGGATGCTTAATTTCGCCAGTTGTTCGACTTTTTCTCAATTATTACATTTGACTCGGCGAAAAAAGTACACAATTGCTAATTTTTTAATGACTTTTCTTTGTTTACTATTTATGACATTAATTTTGTTTTCCAACAGAACATGTAATACATATTCAAGCTCGCTTTGATTTCTTTGGCTGGAATAGATTGTTATTATCATTAATATTATAATAATTATTATTATAACTATTATTTTTATCATTTAACTATTTTTTTTTATATAGGGGCCGCACGGTGCACTTCAAAGGATGCCTCAAATTTCTTCTGAATTTCGACTGTTGCTCGAATTTTTCTCAATTATTACATTTGACTCTGCGAAAAAATACACTATTGCTAATATTTTTAAACTTTTCTTTGTTTCTTATTTGTTTTATTTTTTTTTTCTTATTTATTTTACATATTCAAGCTCGCTTTGATTTCTTGTCTTGGCAAGATGGCGTCTATGCTGTCTTCGCTGGTTTGGCTGTCACTGTCGCCTTCCTGGTTGCTGGTTTTGTCGTGTACCGATTATGTGTACGAATTGTGAAATACATCGGACGGAAATGGTAAGTTATGTGCTGCGAAATTCCCTTCTTGTTTAATCCTTAATCTCCTGATAGTGACTGGTTTCTAATTTCTCCTTACCTTATCACTATTGAATCAAATATAGAAGTTATGAGAATAAAGGAAATGATCACCAATTTCAGAGGCTCCTGATTGTCAATCAAATTCTCCTTGTCAGTACCAAAAGAAATGTTTAAAGAACGGTGTGGAGAAATTAGCCTCTGATGTTTGGGTGTTAAGGTTTAAGATAAGTTTGTTTGAAATGAGTGGCCAAACGAGTGATGCGTTAGTTTTGCAGTTTTAAAAAGTAATTCTTGATGCACACCAGTGCTATACTTGAACTAGTGAATGAAGAAATGACTTCAATGACTTTAACTTTTCCTTCGCTTGTCTTTTTATGCAGGCAAGAGTACAAGGAAAGAAAGGCTGCTGCTAATATGCCACCTAAACCTGACAAACCAATATGGCAGCCGAAACGAAAGCTTAAGAAAAAGAAGAGAATTGACGACTGGTAGTCGCCAATCATGTTTACTTTGTTTCGTTGCCTAAAAATCGAACAAATCTTTTTTTGAGTGAAAATCAGCCTACGTATTTTTATTTAATTCCGGCAGTCAAATTCAGTTTTAAGATATTAAAAACATACTAAAGTTTTCATCCATTAAAGTTGATCAATGGGGTTTACGTTTGTAGTTTGGTTGTCTTTCAAGCAAAGCCTTCCTTCGCATAGTGAATTAATCAGAGTAAACTTAATTCTTGCTATTCACATGAAATTACTCCCATTACCGAAAAAGAAATGAAGCTAAGAGATCAAGCAAGTAAAATCATTTTTTAATTCCCATCGCAAAATGTAGAGAAACCTGACGTCTAACTATTTCACATCATAGATAGTTTGCATTGAAATTTGTTTGTCCTTGTTCCTTAACCTCTCTTCTGTTCATTTCTTTAAAGTATGGCGCAGCCCCAACAACACTTTTGGGGGTAGTCTGGGGCATGTACTTTGTGATCCAACCCGTACACCCAGTAGCGAGTATCAGTGTCTTTCCATTCATATTTCACCTCGGAAACTGGTACCGCTCTTAGAGTTTGACGCTGAAACAAAAAATATTGACTAGTCAAGTTCAAGATTCCCATTTTATATTAAAGTTGCTAGGGCTCTGTGCGAAAAAAATTAAAACGCTGTAGTTTCCCTTCTATAGAATATTTAAACGCGCGCAGGGCCGGAGAAAGGAACGCGCAATGGTTTTACCTCTCCTCTCGCGCATTTCAGACTTACCCATGCTATGAGAACTTTTGTAAACGTGTGCAAGAGGAAAGAGACGGGTGACACTCGGTTTCCCTTTCGCGCGCGTTTCAGATTTCCGGATGCCGTAAGGGCTGTTTGCGCCGCAAATAAAACCGCGCTCGCGAGAAGAGAAATGCGTAACGCCCTCGTCCATTCAAGCGCGCATTTCAAACTTATGAATGCTGTGGAAGCGGTTTAGTATTCTAGGGAAACTACCCTGGTGTTGTTCTTTCTATCTTTAAAAACAGACTAAAGCTATTTTCCAAAGACTAAAAATTTCACTATCTCCAACCTGCATAAGGATTCGCTTTGTAGGCCAGTTCCGCGAATGAGCTTCGACAAGTCGCTGCGAGCCATTATTCACATCTTGATCATGAAAGGCTGTGACAGGATAAACCTAAAAGTGTACATAAAAAAAAATATAAAACGAGTTAGAGACTAACTTTAACCTTTAAAATCCCGGATCAAATTTGTAATTCTTCTTACTGTCAACCATACAATTCTTATAGTATTAGCTCTGAGAATTTAGTATTGCATCAGCAAATTATCCCCAAATTAATATTTTTCTTTGTTCTCATCACTTTTCTGGTTGGTATTGTATTAATATTGTAAGGAGAAATTCTGTCTTGGTCACTTACGGGAGTTAATGGGTGAAATATTTTCCGTAATCAGTCATATTTACCCGTGGAAGTTCTTGAGTAAAAATTTCCGTTCCCTGAGACTCTAGTATAAGTTGATCCGGTAGATCTGTTCTCTCCGTCACGTGGTTATCGATGTGACATTCCCTGTGAGATCAGAAAAAAGGCAGGCGGTCGGGAGTGATTCACTGATATTCTAGGACAAGGATGCGTATATATCAATTTATCATTAAGTGTTCAAACGTTTAATTCGTACATGACTTTGCGGAGCAACTTTTCAATGGACTGTCGATAGTAAAAAGGGGATTGTTGGTTCCAGTTCTGCTCTATTTCGCCCTGAGGTATTCAAAACTCGCGTCCCTTTCTCAACCAATCTGGTGCACAACTACAACCAATCACGACTTGGTCACTCGAGTTTTCCCGCGTTCCACAGAAGTTTGACAAGCCAGCTCCCTCACAGAGTGCTCCACTATGACACGGTGTGGTTCACCTGTGACACGGAGTGGTTCACCAATGACACGAGGTGATTTACCTGTGACACAGAGTGGATCAACTGGGACACGAGGTGGTTTACATGTGACACAGAGTTGATCACCTAGGACACTGATTTATCCAGCGTGATTCAAGTATAGTAACGTTTCATAATCAGTTAACAAGAATACGGAATTCAGTTACTCACCACGTGATCGTAAGCTGAATGAACAACTTGAGCTGCGCTGCCCCTTGACATGTCCAGCACATCACACGCCCATTACCATCACACGTGTTACATCTGCAACAATTAACATCTCGCTAAGGCATTTTACAGTTAATCCTTAAAATGCCAAGATCTGATCAGCAATTCTCTCTTCTACCACCAATAATTCCTTATAACAAACGAACCAACGCGAGAACAACAAAAACGAACGTGCGAGCAAAAAAGCGAACGCGCGCACGAACGACCGAGCCCTTGCGGTTCTCCAGCGCTTCAGCTAGTTGTTTTAAGTTTAATGAGTTCACAGAGGCTTTTTGTACTTGTTTTCTTTTTGTAAATGGTGATTACGATTTAAATTTCACTGAACTTACATTCTCCTTCCACTTCCATGACACCACGTGCATCTGACTCTATGTGAATTCCCATCACGGTATTCGGTACGGCGACCAGAACCTTGACACCATGAACAACGAACCTGACAGAGAAGAAAGACAATAATTTTTGAAATGAGCGCACCACTCAATTACCAAAGACTACTTGAAGGTCGTCTCGATTGAGTGCCGTTATATCAAAATGAAATTAATCATAGCCGCCAATCTGAACGAAGTTCCACATTGAAAGTAGCCAATAAGGACAATAGTGCATACAAGTGACCAACCTAATGCGCGGGAAAATTCGAGTGAAGTCGCCGTGCGATTATTTCGCATCTGATTGGTTGAGACTGTAACATTCCAGTTCTCGATCCCAGTTTCCACAAAAAAACAACGGCGCCAACGTAAATCATTCAAAAATGGCCGCCGCAGACGAGGAAGACAAGAAAACAAAGGTAACTACAGCATTTATACAGTATGGCTGTTTGAGAAACGGTTGATGTTTTTATTTTGAGTATTTCTACCAAAATCCAAAAGCTCAGCCACTGGTATACTTTGTTTGCTCCGCAGTAAATGCCTTTTTACGGCAAAAGTTGGATTTTTTTGGCGTGTTCAATTCTCCGAAGTTCTGTTCCCGCTACACACGTTGAACCATGGTTTGTACGCAGTAAAAGGTAATCATCTTTGGTGTGGACCTTAAAAAATTGTATCTAGTGAAAACATATTAAGGAAACATTCCACAATTTGAGATTAACAACAGCTTTATAACTGCCCCGCCACGGGTCACAGGAGATCATTCCTTTGGGGGGAGGGGAAAGGAGGTTTGGAAATAAAAAGTCCTGAATAAATGTTGAGAGCAAAAATAAACTACCTGAGGGAGGAGGGGGGCAGTGATGGAGCTGAGGTCCAAATATTCCTGAGATCATACATCATTGAAAAAAATAATGTAAAGAAAATATATCTCACCATTCCCCTTCCATAGCATCTGTAACAGCGTTTGTAGCCTGTGGCCATGCAGTCATGGCAAGGCTGAAAAAATAGGGAACAAAGAATTTAAATAGAACCTTACAATGTCAAAATAAAGTATGGTAATGTAGTTAGTTGAGAGAGCTCTTGGTTAATTTATTTTTGGTCAACCTTAATTTATAGAATTTAATCTATGATAATTTGCTGTTAATTTCCCTTACAACTTGTGATAAACAATTTGTTACAAGCCTAGGAGGTTGCACTATCTGGAAAATGATTCCACACTCCATCAATTCCTACCACTATTTAAAATCAGCCAAAATATAAATGCCCTGTTTATGTAACAAGGTGTCTTTACCTTAACTGATGCAGTATGGGGCACCTCAATGTTCACTACCTGAGGTGTAAATATCTGATGTGGTTGAGCAGGAATGCTCCATGGTGGTGGCGCAGGGCCATTCTGAGGACCATCGATCATCTGACCTACATTCATAAACAAACTGTTACCTACAGATACTTCGATAAGTGGTTTTAGCATGGTTTCTGTTGCCATACATGTATATTGGAACGCTTGGCTCTTCTAGCTTTGTAAATGAAACAAACTTGTGAAATGTCAAAGTCAAGAAAGTAGTAACAAGCATTAGAGAAAACAGCATCATGAGCCTTGGGCTTCCATTTGCATTTTCAAAAGCCCAGCTAAATAATTATGGACTCCCAAAGATTGACACTTTTATCTATTAGTTTATTTCATTTTTTATTCAACTCACCTCGGTAAGGTTCATGCTTCCAAGCTGTGGATCTTGATTCACAAAAACTATTCAAGTGATACTGGAAATTAAAAACAGATAATCAATGATATCAATCATAAGATGAGTTGCAATTTCTGTGGTACCAGGTCTTCATCCTACTGTGTCACTACAATTAGCTGGAGTTGTTCCCTGACAGTATCAAGGTTACATCTTAAACCATGTTAAATCTTGTAAACAGCCCATTGGCTTTTCCACTGTCAGGTGGGGTTTGAAGTCATTTTTCATTTGATTTTAAAATTAACAATGTCATTGTTGTTGTTCTTTCTTGGTCTCTGTAGCCAGCCTATAATACAGTTACTAAGACAAAACATACAAGTGTCAACTTTCAACTCCACTGACTCCCAAATTCCAATTATATTTATTATTTAATGTTCCCTGATTAACCCTTTCACTCCCAAGATCTGACCGTGAAGTTTCCCCTCCAGCTAGCTGCTACAAATTTTTCTGTAAAGCAGTTACATGAATTTGGTGTTGGATCAAGACAACAACTTCTACTTGATAAGTTTGAATATTCTCATTACCTGTTTGCTGAATAATGTATGGATATTATGGGAGAAGTTACATGTTAATCTCTTCGAGGAGTTAAAAGGTTAGAGACCTTGGGAACGATGGGTTTGGGATAATGACTTCAGTAGAAGTGTTGTGATTTCTTGACAAATTCTCCCAACTTAATCTAATTGTAAACATGATTTCTGCACTTACATGGTATGCACTGGATTGAGCTATGTCTTTGATGTCCATGTCCTTGGCAGCTTTTTTGCCATAGCAACAATTCTCAGCTACAAATGCAAGCAGTGCATCTCTTGCCTGATCTTCGGAGATAGCTGTGGCCCTGATTAAAATGATTCAAATGGACCTGCACTTACAGTTGGGCTTGTTCAAATAGAATTATTTTATGATGCAGCTATGATCATGATTCTTATAAATCATGCTATGCTGAATGCATAGCATGATTTGTTTACATGTTGTGATAAAAAACAAAAAAGATCTAATTGACTTACTGTTGGAAAATCTGCTCTGGTGTTTGCTGCTGTGCTGGAGGTTCATATGCTGGTGGAGGGGGAAGATATTCTGTGCCTGAAAAAATCAAACAATAAGTATATGTAATTGCATGGGTTCGAGGGCAATAAAGGATTAATTAATCACTCGTATTTTCAAAGTTTTATCAAAATTGCACAAGTTGTGAAGCGCACAATTCATGTAAATCAAAAAGTACAAATAGTGCATCATGAAAAATAAGATAAACAATTTTAAGGTTCATGTTTTGCAAAAAGCAAAGAGAACTTGGTATTGGATCAATGAATAATCCCATGATTGATATTCTTCTCTATTCTCATCACCTGCCTGCTTGATAATTATTGTATGGATATTGTAAGGAGAAATTCTGTCTTGGTCACTTATGGGAGTGAAAGGATTAACCTAGAATGGGAAAAGCTATAATGCCTTTGGTTGGTTTTTGTGCATGCTCTGAGGATTTTTCTCTTTGATCAATAATTCCTTCTTTCACAAAAACCATCACACCAAGTTCTATCGTAATACCTTAAAGCATGTTTCTTAAAAAACATTTTTTGAGATCTTTGGCATTATTAACCAGGGCATAACACAGCACATCTTTTTTTAAGAACCTGTTGGATCTCTAACTTAGTGGTATATTTAACGCAAACACCTACCAAAGCTAACAGACTCATATCCAGCAAACTTTCCGAACATTTCAGCTGGAGGGGCACTTGGGGGAGGGGGTGCGGCATTCTCATTGTCATCTACATCTTGATCAGGAATATCTGAGCCAACATAACTTGGGGTTTGTGCTTCACCTGCAAATTACATAAAGCACATTCAATGAAAAAAAAATATTTGCCAATGTGCTCTTGTAATAAGACTGTATAATCCCTTAGTCACCTTTCATATCAAGCTTCAGAGTCTGACCTGACAATTTGTTTTTATTCCATACTTAAAATGTCAGAGTGTAAATCAAAAAACACATGCCCTCTATGAAAGAAATCATTATAAATCTATTCAAGCATAATTAATTAAAATTTCAAAAACTATATATAAATTAGTAGTCTAACCCAAAACATTGTTCATGTCTGGTAATTATTGTTAGTAGTACGTTTACTTCCCAAGTAGGTGTTTACTCTTTTTTTAGTTCACATGTATTTGATCACTATTATTAAAATCATTAATATTAATTTTTCATCAATTCATAATCATCATTTCTCAGCACCACACACTTCCAAGTTATCTGGCAAAATGTTTGCAGACAGCAATATCAAAAAGAGAACTACACCTATAAAATGTTCATAAAGAGTTCATACAACTGCTTTATAGAACAGTTAAGTTAAGGAGTTACTCATTTATCACCACTTCCATCCACCAAGACAACTGTGTGTTACAAGCAACCATAACCCTTTTACTGACCTGTAAGAGGAGTGAAAACCTGCTGCTGGTTAGGTGCACCTCCATACCCCTGTTGTTGTTGGGGTGGTGCACCATCATACTGGTGCTGACCCTGCAATGGCGGGTGGCCTGGTTGTTGCTGAGGAGGGCCATACCCTGGTTGCTGTTGAGGTGGTGCGTAACCTTGTTGGGGAGGTCCATAACTTCCTTGCTGTTGGGGAGCTCCATAACCTGGCTGTTGTTGAGGAGGTCCATAACTTCCTTGTTGTTGGGGAGGTCCATAACCTGGCTGTTGCTGAGGTGGGTAACCTTGGTGAGGAGGACCATATCCTTGTGGAGGCGCTCCTTGTGCAGGAGCTGTAGATCCATAACCTGGTTGCTGTACACCTGTAAATAAGGAATTAGCTCAAACTATCAGCTATTAAATAGATGGGTTTGAGAGAAGGCCTTCACTAAAAGTTTTGTGATTTCTTGACAAATTCTCCCAACTAAATATACCTGTGATCTATCTTATTTCCAACCTATTCCATAGTAAACAATAGTGAGAGACCATTAAAAAGCAATGTCCTGTCATAAAATAAAAACACAAGCTTGTCATTCTGTTCACTTTTGAATTGCTAGTACTGGTATATATTCTTGAATGTCTACAACTGCTGATCAATGTTGCATTAGAAACCTGCCTTTAGCCCTTAAACTCCAAGAAGAGATTAACATATAACTTCTTCCTATATTATTCATACATTATCTAGAAAACAGGTAATGAGAATACTAAAAGTTATTGGGTAGAAGTTGTTATTTTAATTTAAAACCAAATTCTTATCACTGATTTACGAAGAAATGTTTAGCAGCTAGAAGAGAGAATGGACAGTCAGATCTTGGGAAATACATGGTTAATTAATGGTCAATAAGGTAATTTCATAACAAATTCTAACTAAATTTCTGTCTTTGTTTCAAATCTTTACCTAAACAAGGTATAAAAAAGGGTAATTTAGTATTATCACCTGCATTGATGGTGTAAATTGGCCATCATAAAGAAGAAAAGAAGCAGATGTTTTGAACATTAGCTCTTTGCCATTCACCCTGACAAAGGGCTAACATTCGAAATGACAGCTTTGAAACTCTTTTCAGTGGCTAACCCTAGTTTAGGTTATCAACTCAGTTGATAATACTAAATTACCCTGTTATACTCTCCCACTGATGCAGCACCACAGTTTCTTTAGAAACTTACCCCCTTTATAAATGAACATAAGGTGTTAGGTCTACCTAATATTTAATGCACACTGTACCTGGATACGTTGATTGCCCTTGGTAGCCTCCTCCTGATGGGGGGTATGGTGATTGGCTCATCCTTCTTCACTGATCCACAGAAAACAGCTAACAGTAATCAGAGAGCTTTATGAACACTTGAATTGCAAAAATATATTAAGTTTACATAATGTTATTTTAATCTGAGTCAATGTTTTTTTTTAACCTTTCTCCCTATGTGTGATTGAAAGTAATTTCTGTACAACATTATTGAGATTTCAAAGAGAAATTTTAACAAAAAAAAATATACAAAATTTCAACTACAACAGGAAATTCTTAAAACTAAAATTTTGGAGAACAGCAGGAAGAATTAGTACATAAATCTTGAGAATTTATAAATAAAGACGAATACACATGGTAGAATAATGAGACTGTTATATTCCTGAACCAGGTAGAAGGAATCTGATAATTATTGTTACAATCATAGTGTTTGTGTTCCATTTGAGGGTTAAATGTTGGTTACATGTACCTTTTCTATTAATAGTTTTCCTAAAAGTACTCTCAAATTACATTTTCAGGTTTCTGGCTGCTTAAAGCCTACATAAATATATTATTCACCCGATATTGCTGTTTTTCCAAATGACTCATAATTCTGGTGACTCTTACTTTTAAAACTTAATTCCCATAAATATTAAGTATCTAGGCAACTAAGTAACGATGTGGGAGTTGTTCTCTATAAACACAAAAAGTAACACTCTTATAACACTTGATCTAGCTCTCATTAATCGATTTCGACGCTTTTTTTTTTTGTAAAGGAAGATACATGCGTGGCGAAATCTAATGTTTCTTTAAACTTTGAACGAAGTCTTAAAGAATACGTAACTTCAAACCGGAAAAAATGTTTTACATAGCGCCAAACAAGACTCGACCTGTCATCATCGTAAGTATCGAAAGTTATTGGGAATTACTCAACTCCAGATGCACCTGTAGCGGCATATTTACAAGTTTTTCTTTACCGTTCACGACCAGAATCGAAGAAAGTTGCGCAACGCAAGTAGTGGGGAGATGATCAAGTGCAAAGAAAACTAAAACAGGTGGCTGCAAATACATTTCAGAACGCCAACAGATTGACTCCGATCAATTTCGAGAGGAAATACATCGTATGGTTTTCAATCGTGAAAGAGTTACTCTCTGTCACTACGAATGCATTCAACTTTACAAAAAAGCATATATATATGGGAACATGGGCCACATTACCTGTATTAGCTTGCCCTTCTTTAAATCTGCGTCAAACTTGGCCTCAGGGAGGTCCTGACCCTATTGATTTCGGAGGACAAGAGCATCCCGCGGAAGATCTGGGCACGAGTATGGTGATAAAAAAGTTAGATAGGTCCGCAATTCACATATTGCAAATGGAACGTAAATGCAAGACAAAAGTCGTTAGTCGACCAGGCGATTTGTCACCTTGTAAACAAATTGGATATAATATAATATATATATATATATATAAACTAATATATCATTATTATATATAAATAATGATATTATTTATCATTTTATATAATGGTAAACTGCTTTCCTGGTCAAAATTCGGCTCGTTTTAAGAGCTAATATCAACATGCATCAGACAAACAGCGGCAAGCAAGTCACCAAAAATTTGCTCTCACTCCTACTTTCATATTTTGTATTGGATTGGACTTCAGTGGTTGGCTAAGGTTATCTGGAATGGACTTCAATTGTTGGCTGAGGTTATCTGGAATGGACTTCAATGGTTGGCCGAGGTTATCTAGAATGGACCTCAATGGTTGGCTGAGGTTATTTGGAATGGACTTCAATTGTTGGCTGACGTTACTGGAGTGGACTTCAATGGTTAGCCGAGGTTATCTGGAATGGACTTCAATAGTTGACGGTTTTTTCCATAAATGCGACAGATTCGTTCGCTAAGATGATCCAAAATATGTCAGCTGAGCTGACCAAGATGATGATTAACGGAGTTATGTGGATTGTTGAACCGTTTGTTCCTGTCGTCTGCTCTATAACTGACGTTGCTGTCGAGGTTTACTTTGGTTTCCTCCGTGGTAAGTCAATTGTTCACCAATTTGAGTGTGACAAGTCATAATTGGCGTAGCAGAGGAGAGAGTGACTATTTCACTTCTCACTTTTTGTCTGGAATAGATTGTTATTATCATTAATATTACAATAATTATTATTATTAACATTATTATTATCATTTAACTATTATTTTTTTTATATAGGGGCCGCACGGTGCACTTTAAAGGATGCCTCAAATTTCTTCTGAATTTCTACAGTTGCTCGACTTTTTCTCAATTATTACATTTGACTCTGCGAAAAAATACACTATTGCTAATATTTTTAAACTTTTCTTTGTTTCTTATTTGTGACATTAATTTTGTTTTCCAACAGAATATGTAAAACATATTCAAGCTCGCTTTGATTTCTTTTCCTGGCAAGATGCCGTCTATGCTGTGTTCGCTGGTTTGGCTGTCACTGTCGCCTTCTTGGTTGCTGGTTTTGTCGTGTGCCGATTATGTGTACGAATTGTGAAATACATCGGACGGAAATGGTAAGTTATGTGCTGCGAAATGCCCTTCTTGTTTAATCTTTAATCCCCTGATAGTGACTGGTTTCTAATCTCTCCTTACCTTATCACTCTTGAATCAAATATAAAGGTCACGAGGATAAAGGAAATGATCACCAATTTCAAAAGCTCCTGATTGTCAATCAAATTCTCCTTGTCAGTACCAAAAGAAATGTTTAAAGAACGGTGTGGAGAAAATGGCTTCTGATGTTTGGGTGTTAAGGTTCAAGATCAGTTTGTTTGAAACGAGTGGCCAAACGAGTGATGTGGTAGTGTTGCAGTTTTAAAAAGTATTTATTGATGCAAGCCAGTGCTTTATTTAACCTGGATTAATAAAGAAATGACTTTAATGATTTCAACTTTTCCTCCGCTTGTCTTTTCTTGCAGGCAAGAGTACAAGGAAAGAAAGGCTGCTGCTAATATGCCACCTAAACCTGACAAATCAATATGGCAGCCGAAACGAAAGCATAAGAAAAAGAAGAGAATTGACGACTGGTAGTTGCCAATCATGTTTACTTCGTTTTGCTACCTGAAAATCGAATAAATGTTGACTGAGTGAAAATCAGCCTACGGATTTTTATTTTATTCCGGCAGTCAAATTCAGTTTTAAGATATTAAAACATACTAAAGTTTTCATCCATTAAAGTTGATCAATGGGATTTACGTTTGTAGTTTGGTTGTCTTTCAAGCAAAGCCTTCGTTCGCATAGTGAATTAATCAGAGTAAACTTAATTCTTGCTATTCACATGAAATTACTCCCATTTCCGAAAAAGCGATCAAGCTAAGAGATCAAGCAAGTAAAATAATTTTTTAATTCCCACTGGAAAATGTAGAGAAACCTAAAGTCTAACTATTTCACATCATAGATAGTTTGCATTGAAATTTGTTTGTCCTTGTTCCTTCATCTCCCTTCTGTTCATTTTTTTAAAGTATGGCGCAGCCCCAACAACACTTTTGGGGGTAGTCTGGGGCATGTACTTTGTGATCCAACCCGTACACCCAGTAGCGAGTATCAGTGTCTTTCCATTCATATTTCACCTCAAAAACTGGTACCGCTCTTAGAGTTTGACGCTGAAACAAAAAGTATTGACTAGTCAAGTTCAAGAGTCCTGTTTTATATCAAAGTTGCTAGGGCTCTGTGCGCAAAAATTAAAACGCTGTAGTTTCCCTTCTCGCACGCATATCATGAACACGCATACTATAGAAGATTGAAACACGCGCGGGGCCGGAGAAAGAAACCCGCAATGGTTTTACCCCTCCTCTCGCGCATTTCAGACTTACCCATGCTATGAGAGCTGTTGTAAACGTGTGCAAGAGGAAAGAAACGCGTGACACTCGGTTTCCCTTTCGCGCGCGTTTCAGACTTCCGGATGCTGTAAGGGCTGTTTGCGCCGCAAATAAGAACGCGCTCGCGAGAAGAGAAATGCGTGACGCCTTCGTCCATTCAAGCGCGCGTTTCAAACTTTTGAATGCTGTGGAAGCGGTTTAGCATTCTGGGGAAATTACCCTGGTGTTGTTCTTTCTATCTCTAAAAACAGACTAAAACTATTTCCCAAAGACTAAAAATTTCACTATTTCCCACCTGCATAAGGATTCGCTTTGTAGGCCAGTTCCGCGAATGAGCTTCGACAAGTCGCTGCGAGCCATTATTCACATCTTCATCATGAAAGGCTGTGATGGGATAAACCTAAAAGTGTACATAAAAAAAATATAAAACGAGTTAGACTCCCGGATCAAATTTGTAATTCTCCTTACTGTCAACCATACAATTCTTATGGTGTTAGCTCAGAGAATTTAGTATTGCATCAACTAATTATCCCCAAATTAATATTTTTCTTCATTCTCATCACTTTTTTGGTTGGTATTGTATTGATATTGTAAGGAGAAATTCTGTCTTGGTCACTCATGGGAGTTAAAGGGTGAAATGTTTTCTTGTTTCTGTTCCATAATCAGTCATATTTACCCGTGGAAGTTCTTGAGTAAAAATTTCCGTTCCCTGAGACCCTAGTATAAGTTGATCCGGTAGATCTGTTCTCTCGGTCACGTGGTTATCGATGTGATTTGCCCTGTGAGATGAGAAAAAAAGCAGGCGGTCGGGAATGATTCCCTGATATTCTAGGACAAGGATGCGTGTATATAACTTTATCATTAAGTGTTTCAACCGTTTAATTCGTACATGTCTTTACGGAGCAACTTTTCAATGGATTGTCGATAGCAACAGGGGATTGTTGGTTCCAGTTCTGCTCTATTTCGCTCTGAGGTCTTCCAAACTCGCGCCCCTTTCTCAACCAATCTGGTGCACAACTACAACCAATCACGACTTAGTCACTCGCGTTTTCCCGCGTTCCGCAGAAGTTTGCATGTTTCCACTTTGAGTTCTCATTGGTTAAAATTCTCTCTGATTGGCCTTTGTAAGAACTTTGGTTTTGGATTTTCGGCACTCAGTTGAAAACCGCAGTTGTGTTGTAGTTCGTCTAACAAGCCAACTCCCTAACAGAATGTTCCAGTATGACACGGAGTGGTTTACCTATGACACAGAGTGGTTCACTTGTGACACGGAGTGGTTTACCTGTGACATGAGGTGGTTTACCTGTGACACAGAGCGGGTATAGCAACGTTTCATATTCAGTTAATAAGAATACAGAATTCAGTTTCTCACCACGTGATCGTAAGCTGAATGAACCACTTAAGTTGCGTCTGTCCCAGACATATCCAGCATATCACATGTCCATGGCCATGACACGTGTCACATCTGCAATAATTAACATCTCACTAAGGCATCTTACAGTTAATCCTTAAAATTTCAAGATCTGATCAGCAATTTTCTCTTCTAACTCCAATATTTCCTTGTAACAAACGAGCGAACGCGAGAACAACAAAAACGTGCGAGCAAAAAAACGAACGTGCGCACGAACGACCGAACGCACTAACGAACGACCGAGTCGGTGCGATTCTCCAGCGCTTTAGCTACTTGTTTTAGGTTTAATGTGAGTTCACAGAGGTTTTTTGTACCTTTTTTTCTCTTTTTGTGATTGGTGATTATGATTTATACTCCACTGAACTTACGTTCTCGTTCCACTTCCACAACACCACGTGCAGCTTACGCTACGTGAATGCCCATCACGGTATTCGGTACTGTTACCAGAACCGTTACACGATGTACAACGAACCTGACAGAGAAGGAAGACAATAATTTTTGATACGAGCATACGAGCATACCACTCAATTACCAAAAACCACTTGAAGGTCGTCTCGACTGAGTGCCGTTCAATCAAAACGAAATTAATCGTATCAGCCAATCAGAACGAAGTTACACATTAAAAGTAGCCAATTAGGAAAATAGTACATACACGTGACCAACCTAATGCACGGGAAAGTTCGAGTGAAGTCGTCGTGCGATTATTTCGCATCTGATTGGTTGAGACTGTAACATTCCAGTTCTCGGTCCCAGTTTCCACAAAAAAACAACGGCGCCAACGTAAATCATTCAAAAATGGCCGCCGCAGAAAAGGTAGACAAGAAAACAAAGGTAACTAAAGCATTTATACAGTATGGCTGTTTGAGAAATGGGTAATGTTTTTATTTTAAGTCGTTCTACTAAAAACCAAAAGCTCAGCCACTGGTATACTTTGTTTGCTCCTCAGTAAATGCCTCTTTACGGCAAAAGTTGGATTTTTTGGCGTGTTCAATTCTCCGAAGTTCTGTTCCTGCTACACACGTTGAACCATGGTTTGTATGCAGTACAAGGTATT